AGTGGTCGCCTGTTCGGTCAGAAACTCCTCAACCTAAGTCCGGTTAATTCTAAACTAAACCATAGTTAGTCAAAAGAAGAATGGACGTCACCGTTCACCCACCACCGCCAGTATGATTACTGTTTGAATTATGAATACAATTTTGGTGATTGTTTTTGTTTTAGAGGAGTTTTATATAATATATAATTATTATATGCAAAAATGGAGAGACAAAAAGAAAAGGAAAAAGAAAAAAGAAGAAGAAAACAGTGGTGGGTGTTATTTTGTGTTTGAACTTTTTTGTTTTTTTACTAGGTTTCTGTTTGAATTCTGTTGTTAAAAGGTCAAAACTTTGGTGGGTGTCCTTTTTTCTTGGATATGATTTCATCTTCTTCCAGGTTCTTCAAACACTTTTGGGTAAGTGATTGTTGATTTAGGTTTGATGCGCCAATTATCTCAAACTTTGTTCTACCATGTTTGCTTTCGGCTCAACAAATATGGAAAAAATCAATATATGTATCTTTGTTCGGCCCATGCTCTCTTTTTCTAGCTATGTCACTTGAGTTGTCAAGAATAAATTGCCCTAGGATTGCTCCAACGTTTAGCTTTGGAATTTCTGGGATTGAGTCATCGAAAAAGAAACTGCATCTTGATTACAAATTTGGGTAGTGAGGTGTTACAAATGGTATTAGATCGGGACCTCTCCTAATACGATGTGGTTTCGAGGATGAACCAATGCGAAATGATGCGTTCTTTCTAGAGTCTACAATTGTGAAGTCGGGACATCCAACTACTGATGTTCCATCTATAGTGTAGATATATCCGAATAAGATATTGCTACCGTCTACATTTTCACTATGATCAATATCCATAAAACATAACAGAATTACTTTGTCATTGTCATAATGAAATGAAGTATTAGATGTACCTCTCAAATATCTTAGTAGTCACTCCACAGCTTTCCCAATGTTCTTTCCTCGAGTTTTCCATGTGTTATTTCACGTCTAGTGCATACCATAACATACATCAATCTCCCAATTACACAAGTGTGTGAAACAAATGTCATGTGCTCACACGCCTTAACTGTTTCGGGTTTGGACATCATCTTCTTAATCTACTACTATGGGGATAGACTTAATGTCCCTATGACAATTTAACACGATTTGTCAAAGGAGTAGTCTTGAGTTTAGCATCATTCATTATAAATTTGGACATCTTCTCGATGCACTACTCTAGTGGATAGATTTAATGTGTAAGTAGACCTATATTGAGAAATCGTAACCCAAGAATCTCCTTTGTTGCACCCAAATCTTTCCTCTCGTATACCGAACAAATGCTTGTCTTGAAGTTGTTTTATATCCCTCCTATTGAATCATGTAATCAATATCTTATGCAAATACAAGATTAGCAATACATGGGAATCAATGCATTTCTTAAAACAACAACACTGATCTTTTTACTCCTGTGAAAACCACTCTCCCATGTGAAGAAGTTAAACTTCTTATACCACTGTCTCGGTGTTTGTTTACACCAAGCATTCCTGGCTTGGAACTACAAACCCTCTCCGTTGATGCATATAAACCTCTCTCATTTAGATCTACGTAAAAATAATGCTTTTACATTAATTTGCTCAAGATACAACCCAATCAATTTTATTTTTTTTATTTTTTGAATATCCTTTAACTACTAATCGATCCTTGAACCTCCTTTTGTCACTTAGTTCAGCCTCGATTATGAATCATTATTTGTTTAAGAAAACTCTATTTCTTATAAGCAACCCCGTCTACACCTATGTGTTATTTTTTTCAAGTGAGTTCGTCTCATCATCCATAACATGCTCTCACTTAGCCGAATCCTTCTACGCAACAGTTTTATCATATGTCACATTACAATATCTTAGAATTTGTCTGTTTTCCTCATCTCAAAACTTGTATCCAAATATGTCAAAACCATAACCTATGAAATAGCACTTCGCAGCCTTAGCATCAAGTTCGTCTCTCTTCTCTAGATCAACGTAAATGTATGAAGTACAACCAAAATGTCTTTGGCAGCCTAGAATGAATCCTCGTACTTTTTACCCACTCATTCAATGTTCTGTTCATTCTTTTAATAATATCATTTTGTCTTACCGTATCGAGAACTATTCCCATTAATTTGATTTCCTCAGTTGCACAAAATGTTTTGAATTCTGACTTGTCATACTCTTGTCCATCATCAAACCTTAGATTTTCAACTTAACTTTTTTTTTTTTTTTTTTTAAGGTGGCCAATATGGGACTGGAGAATGTCATATAAGGAAACCATGACCAGTTGAATCTAAGAACCCTCATAAGCGCCTGAATATGCAAATCCCTAGTCACAAATGCTAAAACCCCCCGAATCAATTTGATTTCACCCCAAGGAGAAATAAGACTTGAATTACCTTATTGATCAAATACAAGAAAACTTCTATGAGATTTGAATCACTCCACAAGGAAGATTTATTATATCAAGCTTGAATGATTCTAAATATGCAATCTAAATTATATGGAATTGCAAAGAAACTTAGCCGTTGGTTAAAAGAAAGCACAAGAATAGTATCCCAAGATACAGGTAAAGATGACATCAAAATCAATGTTTTAATTTCATCTTCCAAATTAATTTCCGCGTAACTCTATCGATTTTACAATCATATTGAATTCTTTTATTTGATTTACAACATATCCACATTGAGACATCTGTAAATTGAATAGTCTACGCATCGACTATACCTTGTTCATAGTCGATGACTTTTCATACATATTTGACAACGCATTCAAACAGATCCGACGTTGTCTTCTCCTTGACGATGTTGATTGCCACATTTTTTTGTCAACATTAACCGAATAAACCCTAGAGCCTTCAATCCTTGAGCTTTTGCTCCTCCATGGTCATGGAATCCGACTTCACCTCGGACAATGGTTCTTGAAGATCTCTCTAGTACAAATAAACTTCAATCTGATCTTGCAGAAACCGCAATCATATCTATCAAAGTTCTCGATTTCGATCTTTAAGCTTTCCATCTTCACATATCGTGGTAAATCTCTCCAAACTTTGATACCAATTCTTAAGATCACATAACTCACATAACTCACATACTTGATTTTGATGAAGAATACGAAAAACAAGAGAGAAGAAGTGCCCTTGTCACTCGTTAAAGTGCATGGTGTTCCATAACTAGAGAAAACATGATTCTTTAAGAATCGATAACAATCAGCATGCCACAATACGTCGTTACTTCCTAATGTCTCGACGTTACATATTTGACAATACACACCAAAACCAGCGTTACAAATGTGTGCGTACTTTCATTTGTCACCTATCACCTTATAATTTCAGATAGAGCTAATCACATTGTAACTCGCTTAGACCTTAAATACAATCGCTAAACATTTAATATCTCGAAATCAAGCCGTTTTGAAAGCACTTCTAATAACTCGAAGAACTCTCTCAGCAACTTCTTCTCCAAATTGCAACGGCATCGTTTTGCTTAGATCCATTTCGATTGCCTTCTTCTTAATCATAAGGTCTCTCTTCTCCAACAAACTCCTTTCATTACCATCTTCAATCTCCCTTCCACCATTACTACACAACTCCATCCATATCCTCAACACCTCTTTCGAGATCGGACCGATTTCCTCACGGATAATCTCTTCCACACGCCCCGATTCGCTCTCCTCACACTTCACACTCACTAGAATTCCGGTCGACGAAACAACTTTTCGAAAGAAGAGCGACGACGAGAAGTACGGGCTTACTTCCGGCACGCTGTCGAGTCGGCGTCGATACTTCTCGAGCTCAGTTTCCTCGTAGAAAGTGGTGAGGTAGTCGGGATGGAGGACGATATCGACTCGAGGGATCAAATCGAGGAAGAAGATTAGAAAAGTAGGGCTGCATTGAACTAACTCGAATTGGAAATGAGGAATGTCGTTTGTGGTTTTCAGGTAGCCGGCGATGTTGGTTATGTTGAACGCGCCGCCGTGTGGTTGCTTTAAGTGTAACCAACTTGCAATCATGAAATCAATCTGAAATTCCGAGAAAGTTGGAACAATTTAATTTTTTTAAAAAAAATTAAATTACAACCAAAAGAAAGTTACCGGCGACGGTGGAAGGGCAGATCGGATGAGGAGAGTGCCCTGTGAAGTGCCGGGTTGGTTCTGATAATACTCTACATCCGACGGAACCGTCGACGGAAGTAGATGCTCTCCGACCCCATCATCGACGGCTTGGATTAAATCCACCATCAGATCTCTGTGCGCAGCCGTCAGATGCGGAAACTCCATCAGCTTCGACGCCGGCCGACCACTCCCCATCGCCGCGGACGGCAGCTCCGCCTTGATTACTTGCCGTGTTCTTCCTCTACTTCCTCCTTGGAAACGCAATGGTGGAAGACAATAACAAGCTCTTGGGACCAGCGTCAAGGTTGTCAAAGCCATTTGTGGCCTCTCATTGCTTCATTATCTTTATTTATTTATTTTATTTTTTATTCATAAAAAAATATATTTTAATCATTTTCATTTTCAAATTATTTATAAAGAGGAATGAAACACATTTATAATTATTTTTTAAATTTATTTATACAATTTTATTAAAATCTTTTTTTTTAAGCATAGTTTTTAATATTAAATATTAAAAATAAAAAAATATATACTAAAATTTTCATTTTAATTAGAATTTAGTTATTCACCACATACGAGGATCCATGGATCCATGCCTATGGGTGAGTAGTTATTCACCATTTTAATTAGAATTTAGTTATTCACCGTATAGGAGAATTAATTTAAAATATTTTAATATTGACGTAACAAAAGTAAAGTAGTTAATAATTAATTATTTAATATTAGCTAATGTAATAATTATTTTTTAAATAATTTGTTTATATTCGTAAATACAATTATTTGATTATATTATTCATTTTTTTGGAATTTTTTTCTAGACGCAATGAACAAAATTTTAAACTAAACAGAGTTGTGGGGCCCGAAGAAACCTAACTGAGCAGATATTTTCGTTATCCCTAATCCAATCCGAGCTATCCCATCTTCGACACGGATGAAAATAAGATGCCAAACATGGCGTTGATGGTTTATCCATCTGCAAAAGCTTTCAGTCTTCCGCCGCCGGTGGAATCCCGTTTCAGAGAATTAGTGATAAGGAACGCAGCGTCGAACATGGCGGAGAATGTGCCGATCCGGCCGGGATCGTCGTCGAAGCTGAAGGAGTTTCCACATCTGTCGGCTTCTCATAGAGCTCTGATGACTGATCTCGTCGGCGCCACTGAATCTCGACTCGAAGATCGTCTTCTTCCTTGCACTCTTCCTCCTGATGTTGAATACTTCCAGAATCAGAACGGGACTTCGCAAGGCGCTCTTCTCATCAGATCTGGCTCGCCGGACTCTTCTGTATGCGTCTCTATGTCTCTGTCTCTTAAGAAATTTAGATAATCAAACTGTTTCGAGTGTACTCTGATCTGCTCCCAATTTTAGCGTTCCGGAATTGAGGATTTAAAATTTAAATTTCTTTCATAGTCTGCAGATCGATTAGATAGAAAATTGATTGTTTATGCATCTGTTAAATACTTTTTGAATCCAAATTTATCAAATCTCCAACGCTTAGCATGTTAGATACCACGGATTATTGAGTTATTACATTAATCAAAATCTCTAGCGGTTTGTAATTGTTTTGTTAAGCATTTGAACTAAAATTCTAATGTAAGTGTTTCCAACAAATCAAGAGTATGAGATAATTGTGAAAATTTTGTAGCAGCAGATCCAAATTCAAACTAACAAATTGGTAATGAGATTGTGTTCGTTATTTAATCTATGTTTCTTAACTTTTGTGTTAGATTAATTTCATATTGGGAAGTTGGTTGCATAGCCAGCTACCAACAGGAGCATCATTAAACATTGCAAGCCTTTCTGCCTACTTGAGGCCATCAACTGATGCTCCAAACTTCCTCATAGAATTCATTCAAAGCTCTCCAACCTCCCTCATTCTCATTCTGGATCTACCTCCCAGAAAGGATCTGGTGCTCAATCCAGACTACCTTCAATTGTTCTATGAAGATACAGGATTAGACAAATACCGTAAAGCAATCGAAGAACTCCCTGAAGTACGACCATATGCCATGTCCTCTCTCTTCTTCCGCTCCTTAGTTTCTCCAACTTCCATAATTGTCCGTGTCGATACGGAATCGGGAGGACCCGAACGCATGGAGGAGATTATAGCGAACCATGTCGGTCCCGTTGCAAGAGATGTGATTCGGGTGTGGTTGGATGAATGTGCTTGCAAGGAGAGAGGGGTTGGAGAGATGGAAAGAGGGAACATTGAGAAGAGGGATGAGTTGGTTAAGAAGAAAACCATTGATATAGACTTGGGTTCTAGTTTGCCAAGATTGTTTGGCCAGGAAATAGCAGATAGAGTAGTGGCAGCCATCCAACAAATCTTTGAAGCATGAAATGGTTTTGCTTTGCTTGTTGGTTGTAAATGTATAATGTATTATTTAGATGCTTAATGAAGTTAATTTCATTTATGATTTTAGCGTTGAACGGATAAAAAGGTTAATAAGACTAAGTATTTAAAATACGCTCAGGAAACCAGTGACTCTTTCTATAAGCAAAATTTTAAAGCGTTACAAACTTATAAGAAATTGCTCTGTCGAGGTTCTTAAACTGGCATCTAGACTTAAGTAATTGAACCAAAGGAATACTTAAGTAACTAAACCAAAGGAACAGTGACTAAAAGTAGGTTCCATCATAAATCTTGTCATATTTGATTGCATTTTCCAACCCAGTAAAATCACTTATTCGATATTTTTAAATACTTAAACCATGTTTAGCATTTTCTCAAGTAAAGACAAGACCCGTCTACATATGATGGCTTCAGCTAAGAAATGGAATCAAGTCACTAAAGTTTGATTTTCGCATTTAAGTTGTAATTTTTATGTTAACCTGTCATTTTTTTATGATTCTATTATTATGTTTGAAAATAAATTTATAAACCTTAAGTGACAATGTTTAAAGTGAATTGTTTTAATGGTTTTTTTGCACACTACAGTCATGACATACATGTAATAGTCGTCTTATTTTATAGAAAAAAAAAAGAAAAAAAAGTAGGATAAACATGATCATTCATCTTAATTATTATAGTTACTATATTTAAAATTTTGATGATGTTTTCTAATAAAATTAAGATAATTTTTTTTAATTAGTTTATATTTTCCAGGTATGTAACATAAATATTAAATTTGAAAATTGAATTAGAATATTTTCTTGGATGGTATATAATTTTCCATATTTTATTATATAATTATTTAATGTGATTCTAATTTTTCTCCTTCACTAACTTTAAGGTCGAAAACTATTTTAAGAAAATTAAGAAAACAATTAAAAAAAATTAATATGTACTAATATAATTAAGTAATTTAATGAATTTGACAAATTATAAATAAAGTTAAATTAGATATAAAGAAAACCGTAATTATTTATGCATAATATATATTTACATAAAAAATTTATCAGCTTTCTATTAATGTCATCCTTGATAATTTTTTAAAAAGGAATGTTATTATTATTTTTTTTTATCTTAAAAGAGTAAAATATAAAATACAATAAAGTGCAAGATAATAAATTAAGATCTCAAAATTCAGTAACTTCCAACAAAACACAAATACCATAACAAATTCAGTTCATGAATTTACGGTTGCACACATTAAGTGCATAATATTAATTATTCTCTAAAATATTAATTATTTTAATTAAAATCCAATTTTATGGCTAACTTTCTTTATTTGTATTTGTAATTTATAAAATTAGTTTTTTCTTATTTTATGGACATTTTTAACCCATTATTGTTTTTAATAAAAGTACTCTTTATTTATTTTTAAACTTTATTTTAAAACCTTTTTAAAATTTACAGCTTCAATATATATTTTAAGAAAATGATTTTTAAGAGTTATTAAATAATAAATAATAAAAATTAATTATAAAGTTAGATAAAAATAAAATAAATATATGTATGATGAGCAAAAATATATATTTTGAAAATAACAATAAATTCAAATTGGTTCGATTCAACCCAATGTATAAAGTTTCATTTGTTTAAACCGACCCAAATAAGTTTATAACCCAACAAAAAATTATACGTGAGTTGGGTTGATCGAATTTTTTAAACGTCCCAAATAAATGTGGATCTGGAATTCAAACTTTTAGCTATTCATTAGAATATAAAGAACGAATAAAACGATAGCTCGGTCAAAGTGATCTCGACGAGCAAGGGAGCCCTTTGAGCGTAGGTTGATAAAAAAAAAAAGAAAATAAAAATTGGAGCATTTAATGAAAGGAGTGTGGGTTTTGAAAACATAGAGAATGGAGGGTAAGTTATTTGTTGATGGTTACCAAATATAGAGAGTGTGGATGGATAAGGGGTTGAAATGGTTGTGTATAGGTCGTAGGCGTAAGAAGAGCGATGGAATTTGGGCGTGTCCAGAAGTCTTCTTACAAATGAGTGCAGCACGCGCAGGATCTTTGGTCGCTACTCCAGCTCACTATCCACCCACCTTCCAAACAACCTAAATTCTTCTTCCCCCTCTTCGATTCCTTCTTCTGCTACTCAATTATTCGCTCCAAATTCTGAATGCCACCACATTTTGCGACCGCCTCAACCTCTTCAATCGTCGGATTGGGCTTCCATTCCTGCTGGGAAACCATTTTCGTGCTTGATCTCTTCATCGGAATTCTATGTCTCTCAATTTTGCATCGTTTTTTGTTTCTGGGTCTTCAGGTTTGTTTTTCTGCTCCGCTTGGTGTTTTTCTTGGCTCTCGAGTTGCTGGAATTCTCTCTTTTTTTGTTTTCAATTTTGTTGATCTTTCTGTTATGGATCATCACCTTTGTACATGTTGTGTAGGGTTTTGAACCTCTTGAATGTTTGTCTCTGAATGGTTCATGATTGTTCAATTTCTTTTGATTTTGCTTCTGCTTCTGCTAGTTTGATTTATCTTGGCATCTAATAGAAGCTTGGGTTTGTGATTTACTCATCGATTTCCTCGTCATTTTGCATCGTTTGTTTATCCCCCTTTTCTTAAATGGATTTTTACTCCGTATATTTTCTGTCATGATTTCATATTTATACATTAACTACGATGAAAGTAAGATTTTCCCCTCTATACAATAATAGAATGCCTCTGACTTATGTTTTGATTGAATTTATTGAATTTCATAGGTGTCATTTTCTTAAATGCTGCATTATTCTGGAGATAAGAAGGAAGAAATGAAGATGAAGAACAAATACAGGAAATCAACTACTTTGCGTTGCGATGCAGGGAGCATACGTTTGATATCTGTGGTAATAGGGAGTCTAATGGGGTGTATTCTTCTGCTACAATTATATTCTCCTATAAGCCGCAAGGATACATTTATAGGTCAGGATATCCAACTTCGGACAAGTCATCGCCTGTACTTTCGTGAACTTGAAGAGGTGGAAGAGGAGAAGATTCAAATTCCCCCACCAAGGGGTAAGAGATCACCCCGTGCAGCAAAGCGAAGACCGAAGAGAACAACCACACTGATTGATGAATTTCTTGATGAAGATTCACCACTTAGGCACAAATTCTTTCCTGATCGTAAAACTTCTGTTGATCCAACGATTACAGGAAACGATAGTATGTTCTATTATCCAGGGAGAGTTTGGCTGGATACTGAAGGGAATCCCATCCAAGCTCATGGAGGTGGCGTTTTATACGATGAAATATCTGAAACATACTATTGGTATGGAGAGTATAAAGATGGCCCCACCTACCACGCTCATAAAAAGGGGGCTGCACGGGTAAAATCATCTATACTCTGCCTTTCTGGACCTTCATTTTCTGTAATGTTAGTCTAATGCTTCCACTGGTAAAAAAATTCCGATCACATAAACTGTTGGCGTGCATCTATATGAATTTGTTTGGAACAACACAGTTTGATTAGTGCCTCAGACTTTTTTCTTTCTTATCCATTATTAATAGTATTTTCTTCTTTAGTATAGAAACTTATAATGTCAATTATTGCTCCATGGTGCTTTTATCTGACTTTTATGTTCTTAATACGATGTATATCAGCTTGAGTGATTGTCATATGTTGAATTCCTTCTAGTTCACCACTTTTACCATACTCCAGTCTTGATAAGGTCCTACCCAACTTGTGAATCTTATTAGTTTTTGAGATGGTATGTAATGCTTGAGAGGTTACGTTAAGATCTTGGAGGATGACAGTGAGAAGAAATTTCAATGCAGAGGAAGTGAATGCACTTTGCTGTCTTTGGAGTTGATGGAGAGCATGTTGATTTTGAGATAGTAGGTTAAGATGGAATTTAGATTAAAATAGGTTTTTTTTTGGTTAAATGTTTTGTTGAGGAATCATTTGATGATCCTACTCGTCCTATAAGTCTCTATAAATGATTTGTGGAAGTCAAAGAGTCTAAAGAAAGGTGGATATCCTAATCTCGTTGGCTTTCGGAAAGCTTAAATTACAGCTGATGGACTTTATACAACACATCAAGAAGTTACCAGAAAATCAAGATCTCCAACTGACATGGATAAATAAAGGGGAACTGTTATTAGAAAATGAATCTTGTCATGGGGCAAGAAAAGAAGATGAAATTGACATAATTTGTCTAAAATTCCTAGATCCTTCCCTTTCAAAATTGTTTAATTCCTTTCAAAGATAAATTGACTGAAAAGAGGGCCAACGTGGCCTTATCCCAACTTCCCAACTCTCTTTCTAAGCCCATGGCCATTAGAGGACAAGACGTCGGTGGGTGATTAGAGTCAGAGAAACACCAGGAAAGATGCAACTTTTTTTTTTTTTTGAACCAGAAATGAAACTTTTCATTGAAGAGATGAAAAGAGATTAATGCTCAAAGGATACAAACACCTAATGGTGTGAAGATAAACAAAGTTACAAAGGATTAAATCTTGTAAAGAAAAACCACCAAAGAGTTGGAAAGAGAACACCAAATAGAGGCTTTTAGATGGGCTGACTCAAATTGATCTAACCAAGAACAATGTCTATCTTAAAAAATCCTCTGATTTCATTACAACCAAAGTTCTGAAATCAAAACCTTTTCTGCATTAACCCAAAGCAAATGAGAGTCCAAGTGCAAAGAGGGACCCAAAAGAATCGGAAGAACATTGCTTTTGACATGTGAACAGAAAACCCCCTGCAAATTAAAAATTATGAACAATTTGAACCAGCAAGCCTGAGTGAAAGAGCATTACAAAAAAATTTGGTTGAGAGATTCCCTTGTTTTGTGTCCCCATATCAGCCTACATATATCCTCAGGCAGGGTTGCCTTTACAGCAGTTGGGTGATGAAAAGGAGATTTACTAGAACAATTTACCAACTTTCCTAAGTACCAAATTCTGTTCTCCGAAGACAAATGATATACATGAGAATGCAGTTCTTGTGTTAATTTCAATTTTTTTTTTAATCCTGAAATGGTTTTGCCAACGTTTAGGGACTATTCCTTTCTCATCTGCATTCCAGCAATCCCCCTACTGCTC